GATTGAAAGAAGTATATGAATTATTTGAAGAGCAACTGTAATCAACAAATTACGCTAATAGGACTACAAGAAGTTTTGTAAGGAGAAATACACGAAGTGTTACAAAGTAGAAAAAGATAGAGATATTGGTTATGAGTTTGAAATGTAATAGGGAAGATAAGAAATGCATACTGAGAGATAAGATTGGAAAAATTTCAGACAGGATTGATGGAAGTCAAAAATTTGAATAAGATGTAAAAGTATGTTTAATTACTGTTGAAAATGATATGTTAAAAAAACTAAAAAAAATTACCATACTTTTCGCCCTATAAGATGCACCAGACCACAAGATGCACCTAGTTTTTGGAGGAGGAAAACAAGCAAAAAAATATTCTGAATCTCAGAAGCCAGAACAGCAAGAGGGATCGCTGCACAGTGAATGCAGCAATCCCTCTTGATGTTTTGGCTTCTGGGATAGCTGCGCAGCCTGCATTCGCTCCATAAGAAGCACACACATTTCCCCTTACTTTTTAGGAGGGAAAAAGTGAGTCTTATAGAGCAAAAAATACATTATATATTAATAAATAAATAAATATGCATTTAACTGTCTGTTGTTAAAGGCTCTGCTGCGTGCTTGCTGTATAACAGTCTGCCCTGCACTGCCTTCAGAGGCAGAGAATGGGTCTGCCTGGGTGGGCAGTTGTTGGGAGTCTTATAGTGAAGCTGTGCAGTGACATGCACAGGTGCCTAAATGTATGCACAGGAGAGTCAAGGTGCAACTTTTGGAGAACTGGAGATGTCACAAAAAACGGGGACACACACACAAAAAAGGGAGAGAGTGATTTGCCCAGGATGATTGAAGGGCATGTTGGTTTTCTCTTAGGAAGTCCACCCCCGGCATTTCAAAGGCCTGTTTAAAATGCGATGTCTCCCTGCAGGCAAACTGACCCTTTCATGCAGCGACATTTCCTGCCTCCTTATGGCTGGCGGACTTTAACTTGCTAGCAGTGCAAACAGTTAACATACCCTACCCACCTAATGTCGAAGGAGAAATGCTGCGGAGGCCTGTTTATTGACATTCCTAACAAAGTGTGCCAGTTTCGCAGCACGTGTTATACAGGCCGGGCTGCTTGTGAGAAATATAACATTCTCAGCAGGGAGGGGCCAGCAGCCTGTGAAGTAAATTCACATTTAAAAGGTTAGTGTTGGTTGCTGCCGGCGGGATCTAATAAGTCTTCACCGGATAGCTGTATGCAATTTTGTGGCTTCTGTTAATGGAAAGATCCCCCCTCCCTTTTCTTAAGCCCATCCCACAAAAGCTGGAAGGTGCAAAACAGAACAAAGACCTGTAATGTGTACAGCATTGCTTGCATGTTGGGGAGGCCACTGTGCCATGTGTTTTGTGCATAAAAGTGAAATCAGACAAGAGCAGATAGTAGGGGAACAAGAACTATGGGGGTAAGGAGCAAGGAAGTGGGGGGGGGAGGGGTGATGAATGAAGAGATAAGAGCCAGGACAGTGACATATCCCACAAGTGTCCTGGGAAAAACGGGACATCCCGTTTTTTCCTGCGAGAGCATGGTGACCCTTTTGGCCACCGTGATCTTGTGCTGAGATCACACCCTCCAAAAAAGGGCTTTTTTCAGGACCGCAATCTTGCCCAGTGCCCCAAAATGCAAGATTTTGAATATGGATTTAAGTTAAAAAAGAAAAGAGATGAAGATAGTTAGTTGAAGGAGTTAATTGTATTAGAAAGAGGATTTTGGAGAACTGCTACAAAGGAGAAACAATGAAATTCAGCTAGAGGGGAATCAAGGAAGTCAGACTACAATGAAAGTTAACTTGGATTTCGGAAACTAATGACTGTTTTTACCCCCCCCCTTTCTTTTAGGATTGTAAGATGTATTGTTTCATGTTTTTTACATGTTAAATTTGTTATAAATGTGGAAAAGCAATAAATGTTTTTGATAAAAAAATGTGAGATTTTGGGCTCTGTGATTTCATGTGGGTCACATGACTCACACCAGAACACAGACAGAAGACACACATCCCAGTTTTGGGACTCCCTTTGAAGTGTATCAACAACATCTTAGGGTTTGTTTTTTGTTTTTGTTTTTTTAGGATAGCTTATCAAAAATAGACTTGAGAAACAAAACTCACCAGCCACTTTTTAACATGCGTGCAGCCCCTGCCCCAAATTTCTTTGCTTGTAAACTAACACTCAGGCATGGTACGGCAAGTGACTTCTGTCAGGAACAGTTTATGGGCATGCCTGGGTGGCTTTTGGCACCCTCTGTGCCCCTGCATGGGACCTATGGCTTCATGCCATCTCTTGGACAACCCACAGCGCAGGAGCTCTCCTGGGCCTGCCTGCCTTACTGTTGGCTTTGCATTCAGAAGCAGCAAGTGATTTTCATGAGATCCTGTGGGTGCCTTTTGCTTTGTTTCCCCCCTCTCCCTTCCAGCTGCCGCAGTGCTCGCTTCATCTAAACTTTACACGGTGGCTGCAATTAGCCAAACAACAAACTCTGTGTTTGACTACCTCTGTCCAAATTTGCTCAGCTCAAGCTGGAATCAGTGGTAAGCAAATGATTTTCTGTTTATATTCCACGCTAATGAAGAGCCAGCGAACGCCACCCATTAATAACGCAGGAGATGATGGTGTTTGCATAAGGGCTGTATACAGCGTGTTGTCCTTACCGAGGCGGTTCCTGGAGGGTGATCCGTTTCCCAAGAAGTCCTGGATTCCCCCCCTGTGTTGCTCTTGGCTCTGTCTTGGCCCTTAGAGGGTGATTAAGTGAATGGAAGAAGCAGAAGTTTGTGCCCGCTTTTGGTAGCAAGAAAAGGCATTGGCTTTTCATTTCGCTGGCCACATTCTGGGCAAGCTCTGGGGGACACATGACAGTGGTGGGTGGAATGAGGGGTAAAAGTGGGCAGAGCAATTTTTTACCTTTGTATTGTAATGTAGTTTCTGCACACACACACACCCCTCCATCCAGGAAAGGAAGAAGCATTATGCAAGTTCAAGGACACAGCCAAGGAAAAAGATTCAAGAAGGCTGCAAAGTGGGGCTGGTGGCTCAGGAGGGTGCAGTGGCGTAGCGTAGGTTGCCAGTGCCTGGGGCCGTGCAGAGGGGATAGTGCGAGCGAAGGAAATGGACGGAGTATGCATGTGCATTCAACTGCCTAACGACATCCACGTTGCCCAGGAGATTGCAGCCACAGCGATAAGAAAAGAAGTGTTGTTCTGTTGTCTGGAGAGGTCACTTCCTGGTTCGCATGGAGAGGCCGTTTTCAACGGAGCCTAGTGATGGAATACACAGCTGTATTGAGGCAGCACTGGGTGCTGAAATTTTGTGCCCCTAACAATTTCATGCCCGGGGAACTGCTCATGTAGCTATGCCACTGGGAGGATGTGTGGCCTGGGGAGGATCCTAAGGGCTGGATAGAGAAGCATGGGGGCCACATTTGCTTCCCCACCAATGCTGTAGACTCAGCAGTTTAGGCTAAGGTTACCAGATTTTTCAAAGAATCTGGGGACATTTATTTTTTTTGAAAAGAGAAAAAAATGTTATTTTTTAAAAAAGGTATTATTTTTTTTAAAAGAAGCAATATCTTCTCTTCTGTAGTCTTCTCTGTCATGCAGCCTTCCTCTGCACCCCGGCCTGCTCTCTTGGAGTGCTAGCCGCCGTAGAGTAGGCTCAGGTCGGGCCTGGGCTCGGCCACGTGTCCTTGCCCTCCCAGTGCTCTCCTAGCTCTCTTCTTCAGCGGCAGCAGCGGCGCGACATGGTCAGCGATCCCCTCTTTTTTCTCCTTCCTCTTCCTCTCTCTCCCTTCTTCTTCTCCTCTCCTCCTTCTCCCTGCATTGGCTCTGGGGTTTTCCTGGCCCCGGGGTGCTGCTGGGCAGTTGGCTGGGTGGCCAGGCACTCTCGCTCCCGGCTTGATTTGGGTTGGGGGGGGTCAGTGGTTCCCCCAGTTGATGCGCCAGGCATCTCCAGTTTCGCCTTGGCAGTGGCAGTGGCAGCGGCAGCAGCAGCGGCAGTCTCAGCAGCCGGGAGCCAGCCTGGTAGCGCAGTTGGCTCTGGCTGGCTTCAGGAGCTGCTCACTTGTGGCACCCACCATTTTGCCTCGCCGGAAGTCCCCATATGATGTGTCTTGTGCTGTTGAACAATCACACAACATTCATTCCCTTCTAATAAATCTACAACATTTAAAATATAAATCTGGGGACATTAAACGAAATCCGGGGACATTCTGGGGACGGATTTTGTCCGGGTACAGTTTTGTAAATCCGGGGACTATCCCCAGGAAACGGGGACATTTGGTAACCATAGTTTAGGCTCTTTGGACCAACAGTAGCCTCTAGGATGCAGTGCAATCCAGTTGGAACCCACTAGGCCATATGAAGCCAGCCCCTCAGTTTGAGAAACCTGGTGTCTGACTGAGTAGCTTCATGCTCCTTGATCCAGAATCTGACCACCAGCCTGCCTTTTGACTATATCACCCATATCTGGATCCTTGGTCTTGCTCTTCCTCCACTGAAACTAGACTGCAGCCCGTCTCTGAACTCAGCTGAGGGAGGTGGACCCAGCCACACTTGCAGCCACCGTCAGCATGGCAGGGCTGTTCTCTTGTCCGTACCATTGCCCATTTCCCTGGAATATGTCAAACTAATTAATTTCCTCCTTCCGCTGAGATGCCTGGTCCTAAAAAACCACAGAGCACAGAGCCAAAACAATGCCCTTTCCAATGATTCGCTTCTTCCATTTGTGACTGCGCAGGTTGTGGTGAGGAGATCCTCTGACCTCCCCCCTTCCCCTGGGCACTGGGGCCAGCCTCTTTTATGCTCTGAGATTCTTCCCAGCTGCCTGATGGTGCATCACCAAACAGTCATTGAGATTCGGCATGCTTTATGGGATCAGAGGCCAGGTAGTGCTTTCCCTTATTAAAAGTTCCCATCAGATCTGGTCTATACATGCAGCATAGAATAAGGGGGGTCAGAAAGGGCAGTGGCAGGCAAATGCTGTGGCTCAGTGGTTAGAGCATCTGCTTTGCATGCAGAAGGTCCTGGGTTCAGTCCCCGATAGGGCTCAGAATGTCCCTGAATCCCTGGAGAACCGCAATGTAGACAGTACTGAGTTAGGTGGACCAATGGTGCAATGTGGTACAAGGCAGCTTCCTCAGTTCCTGTTTAATCAGCCCTTTGTTCAATATCATGAGGACTGGGATCTTACTTTGTTTTTAGGAAAAGGGACATAAATTTGCAGTTGAGCATCTGTTTTGCTTGCAAAAGATCCCAGGTTCGATCCTAGAAAAGGCTGCCTAAATTCACACTTCCGTCTTGTCCTGCTGCTCTCTGCAGCTGGAAAACTGCTCTTTAGCGATCAATTGGAGCAAAGGACAATTAAGGCTTTCCCCCCGGATTAAAATTGGCTCTGATTTAGAATGGGTTTTCCCTGGGAAAGGAGCAGGGCAAGGGGAAAACCACTTGGATCCAGGCATGGGATAGTGAGGAAGAGTGGATGAGCCCTCAATCAGTAGAGAGAGAGAGAGAAAGAGAAAGAGAAAGAGAAAGAGAAAGAAAGAGAGAGGGAGAATCCTGAGTTTAGCGGCCTCACTTGGTACAAGACAGTTCCTATGTTCCTAATGAGCTGTTATCACTTCAAGTGACAGGTGGTAGATTTCCTATTTTTGTATGCTTCTCTGTGTTAAAACAACACCTAAGCAAATGCACCTTGCAAGTGAAGAATTACCACTCATCACATTTAGTGCCACCTGCTCCTTGTTCTTGCTAGATTTCTACTTGCAGTGTTTTTTTGTTTTTTGTTTTAATGCAAGGATTCAAAGCTGTGACCTGCAGACTGAAGTGGTGCAGCTTCCCTTTGGATTCTAGCACCTCACTTAGTGGCATGTGTAGAATCAGGACACTCAGAGGGTATGAATTCCACCCCCCCTCCCAGGACTGAGGTCCCTGAGCCATAACAAAAGATAAGTTGGGTTGTGTAGCGGGGAGAGGAAAGCTAGAGAAGACATGGGAGATTCTGCCTCTTTCTTTTCTTTTCTTTTTTAAAGTCAACTGTTTGACCCCTGATTGGTATTGGGACCCTGATGCTGAGGAAGGGGGCGTGGTTTCCTCACGGCCTCCTCCCCTCCCCACCCCCAATGCAAAGAAAGTGTGCAGGTTAGGTCTGTGCTGGAGTGAAAGAAGAGATTCGGGTGGAAGTAATATAATAACAATAATTTATTATTTACACCCCGCCCATCTGGCTGAGTTTCCCCAGCCACTCTGGGCGGCTCCCAATCGAGTGTTCAAAACAATACAGCATTAAATATTAAAAACTTCCCTAAACAGGACTGCCTTCAGATGTCTTTTAAAGATAAGATAGCTGCTTATTTCCTTCACATCTGAAGGGAGGGTGTTCCACAGGGTGGGCACCACTACTGAGAAGGCCCTCTGTCTGGTTCCCTGTAACCTCACTTCTCGCAATGAGGGAACCGTCAGAAGGCCCTTGGCGCTGGATCTCAGTGTCCGGGCTGAACGATGGGGGTGGAGACGCTCCTTCAGCTATACAGGACTGAGGCCACTTAGGGCTTTAAAGGTCAGCACCAGCACTTTGAATTGTGCTCGGAAACGTACTGGGAGCCAATGCAGATCTCTCAGGACCAGTGTTATGTGGTCCCAGCGGCCACTCCCAGTCCACCAGTCTAGCTGCCGCATTCTGGATTAATTGCAGTTTCTGGGTCACTTTCAAAGGTAGCCCCACGTAGAGCGCATTGCAGTAGTCCAAGCGGGAGATAACTAGAGCATGCACCACTCTGGCGAGACAGTCTGCGGGCAGGTAGGGTATAAGAGCTTGCTAGTGAAAGATGTCTAGCTGCAGTGTAGAAGAATCGCTCACTGAGCCCTAGGCTGCTGCTGCTGCTTTAGGCAACTTCCTTGCCTGCTCCCCCCCCCCCCGCAGTTCCGCCAGAAGACGGAGCCCTCCCGATTCCTCCTTGAGGCTGCAGGAGGAGGGCTGCGCTTGTGCGTTGTGTCAGCCAAACCTCCAGCGATGGGTTTATGCAGAACTGCCGGGAGCTGCTCAGATTTCTAATTAAGATTGAAGAAAACACACTTGGCTTCCAAAGAGTCCTTGCTGAAGTTTAATTTGATTAGCCTCTTCCCCCTCCCTCCCCCCTGGGGCCTCTTTAATTCTTTGGATTAGCCCAAGTGGCCTTTGAACACAGGGCATCCTTCAGCGGTGCTTGGGCCTCACTTGCCCTGAAAGGAGACCTGCTGGGTCAGTGGGAAAATAAAAGCATTTTCAGAAGGCTTGGGTTCAAGTCCTGCTTTGGACCTTGGTTGACCTTTAATTAAATCTCCCTGTTCTGTGCCTTGTCTGGGCATCTTCACCCAAGGGGGAGTTGGTTCAAGGACACTAACTAGTCATTTCTTGTCGCTGTGAACCATTCATATATATTCTTTTTTTTGCTTTTGTTGCAAACAGCACAGAATAAGTTTCCAAGCAGAGGTACTGAACCTGCTTAGCTTCCGTGATGGACCTTCCAGATGATTCCCATTCCCATTCTTTCCCCCCCACTTAAATAAGAGGTGCTGGAAGAATCACAGCTCCCTGGAAATCCTTGCTGGGGCTGCACTGCCCATTTCCCAAGCATGCAGCTTGGTCGTGCTGTCACTCAGTGATGAAAGGAAACCATTCTGCACATGCTCAAGAGCACTCTCTCCTTCAGCATTATGTATGATGGAGCTCAGCCCTAGTGCGCTCTGGAGGAAGGAGGCCTCCAGAGAGTTTCATACCTCCAACATTTCACTGATGAAAATAGGGACACCCTATTCAGTAGAAATAACAATAACATCCCACCCAACTGACTGGGTTTCTGCAGCCACTCTGGGCAGCTTCCAACATATATAAAAACATAATAGAACATTAAATATAAAGTCCCTATACAGGGCTGCCTTCAGATGTCTTCTAAAGGTTGTATCTCCTTGGCTTGGGGGTTGGATAACTCCATAGGTAAAGGTAAAGGGATCCCTAACCATTAGGTCCAGTCATGACCGACTCTGGGGTTGTGGCGCTCATCTCACTTTATTGGCCGAGGGAGCCGGTGTACAGCTTCCGGATCATGTGGCCAGCATGACTAAGCTGCTTCTGGCGAACCAGAGCAGCGAATGGAAACACTGTTTACCTTCCCGCTGGAGCGGTACCTATTTATCTACTTGTGCTTTGACGTGCTTTCGAACTGCTAAGTTGGCAGGAGCAGGGACCAAGCAACGGGAGCTCACCCTGTCATGGGGATTTGAACCGCCGACCTTCTGATTGGCAACCCCAAGAGGCTCATGGGTTTAGACCACAGCACCACCCGCGTCCCCGGATAACTCCATACCCCCCAACATTTCTCCGATGAAAATAGAGACATCCTACCACACCCTCCAACAGTTCTCTGATTAAAAGAGGACACACCAGGGGAAGGACAGGCTATTCCAGGATCAAATGAGAAAGCAGAATGGCTTCTGTAAATCTGGGACTCCCTGGAAAATAGGGGCATTTGGAAGGTCTGGAGGTTTTGCTCGGCCATCCATCTCCTTCATGGCTGAGCTACGGCTAGCAAGTGAGGCTGGCCTGGAACGTTCCATTTGCTCTCCTCCCTCCTCCCACCCCCAGCCAGAGATGGAAGAGGCAGTGATTTATAGCACCTTCCTGCCTCCCCATCCCACCTGAAGGGAGCATGTCACATTGATGGATCTGCCTCATTTGCATCAGAATTTGCTCGCTGTGCCATCCGTCCTGGCTGTGGGGGCACACAGATGCAAACCCATTTGGGTTCCTGAGACAAAAAAGGAGCCGTTCGCTGAGGAGGCTGCTCAGGAGGCGCTGGGGACGGGAGGAGCTGCAGAGGCATCTGTGGGGAGACGAGTGGCACCTAAGGGCAGGCTCAAATCTCTGCACAGCCCTTGACCTTGTGTACAAACCATATCTCTCAGCTTAGGCTGCCTCACAGGGTTGTGGTGGTGACAGAAAAGTGGGATAATTCGATACTTGCTACTCTGAGCTCCTTGTCAGAATGATTTCAATAATAAAAAGGGATGCTACCAAAGTTGGGCTGAGCCAGTTTTGTCTTTTTGTTTTGATCCAGAAAGAGTCATCCTTTAGTCCCTGATGTAGATGGCTGTGGGTTTCTTAGTTAGGGCAGTGCATGGGGAGGAAAGGTCGGAAGACCAGGGACAAATATTTAAAATTCATCCATCCGACGTGTTGCTTCTCTCAGGAACCTATATGTTTCAGAGCATGTTAAAGGACGCAGGTGGTGCTGTGGGTTAAACCACAGAGCCTAGGACTTGCCGATCAGAAGGTCGGCGGTTCGAATCCCCGTGATGGGGTGAGCTCCCGTTGCTCGGTCCCTGCTCCTGCCAACCTAGCAGTTTGAAAGCACATCAAAGCTCAAGTAGATAAATAGGTACTGCTCCAGTGGGAAGGTAAACGGCGTTTCCGTGCACTGCTCTGGTTCGCCAGAAGTGGCTTAGTCATGCTGGCCACATGACCCAGAAGCTGTACGCTGCGTTGGCTCCTTCGGCCAATAAAGCGAGATGAGCGCCGCAACCCTAGAGTCGGTCACTAATGGTCAGGGGTCCCTTTACCTTTACCGTTACCTATGTTAAGGGGGACACCATCAGAGGCCCTCCTCCACATGCCTGCAAGTCATCAAAAGTGAGGCAGGTGGGGTGGGGCAGGACAGGTAGGCAGAGGTGGCTGTCCCTGTTATCCTGAGCCAGTGATGGCAATGTTGCTGTCACTTAGGTGGGCTATCTGTCTCACCAAGTCCCAGTGCATTGGGAAAGAGAGTGGGCAGAGAGGTAGAGAGCCCAGCCACTCACTTGGGCAGGCCCCCCACAATGCATTGCAGATAAGGTAAAGGTAAAGGTAAAGGTAAAGGACCCCGGATGGTTAAGTCCAGTCGAAGGTGACTATGGGGTGCAGTTCTCATCTCACTTTCAAGGCTGAGGGAGCCGGCGTTTGTCCACAGCTTTCCAGGACATGTGGCCAGAATGACTAAACCACTTCTGGCGCAACGGAACACCGTGACGTAAGCCAGAGTGCATCGAAACACCGTTTACCTTCCCGCCACAGCAGTACTTATTTATCTACTTGCCCTGCTGTGCTTTCGAACTGCTAGTGGGCAGAAGCTGGGACAGAGCAATGGGAGCTCACCCTGTCATGGGAATTTGAACTGCCAACCTTCTGATCAGCAAGCCCAAGAGGCTCAGTGGTTTAGACCACAGCCCCACCCGCGTCCCTACACTGCATTGCAGCATTGGTTTGTACAGGCAATGGCCACACTTGCGCTATACACTGAGCTATACTGGGATACCGCATCAAACAATCATGGCTTCCCCCCAAGAATTCTGGGAGTTGTAATCTGTTAAGGGTGCTGAGAGTTGTTAGGCGGCCCTTATTCCCCTCACAGCACTACAATTCTCAGAATGGTTTTAAAATCAATCTCCCTTCACAGGGAATTTTTAGACACCAGACCAAAAGGTAAAGGGACCCCTGACCGTTAGGTCCAGTCGTGGACGACTCTGGGGTTGCGGCGCTCATCTCGCTTTACTGGCCAAGGGAGCCGGCATACAGCTTCCGGGTCATGTGGCCAGCATGACTAAACCGCTTCTGGTAAACCAGAGCAGTGCACGGAAATGCCATTTACCTTCCCGCCAGAGTGGTACCTATTTATCTACTTGCACTTTGACGTGCTTTTGAACTGCTAGGTTGGCAGGAGCAGGGACCCAGCAACGGGAGCTCACCCTGTCAAACTCCAACCTTCTAATCGGCAAGCCCTAGGCTCTGTGGTTTACACCACAGTGCCACCTGCATCCCAGACACCAGGCTAATACCCTTTTATTTGCCCAGGTTTTGAATTATGAAGATTTTTTGGGTGTCTCTTTCTGTGTGTGTCACTGTTCCCTGAGATTTTATCTCTCTCTCTCTCTCTCTCTCTCTCTCATTATTCCAACAGCTGTTTGTTGTTGTTTATTTCTTTGACATTTTGTGATGCTTTAATTTGTGTTAAATGTTGATCTTTTTCTATTTTTGCAACCTGTCCATGAGTGTTTCTAATAAACAGGGTGAAGTATATATTTATATTTTGAAAACACAAAATAAATTCTGCTTCCTTTCCCAGAAATTTCTCTCAAATCAGGGAAAACCAAGAGCAGGTGAACTTGCTTGGAGAATCAGGTGCTCGGCTGCATCTTTTTCAGTATAGGAATTGCTGTTCCTCATCTTATTTTTCCTTCTCTGGAGCTTTCTATGCCCCACCTCCTGGACTTTGATGGGCTCCTGCCTTGGCATGATGGAGAAGGCCTGGCCAAACAAACAGAATGTCACAGGGGGGCTTGCCAGGGGCTTCCTCTTGTACACTGTCTTCCAAGAAGAAAACACCCCCCACCCGGCCTTATTGGTGTGAAAACATTCATAAATAATTCTTCTGCAGCTGTCAGTTTTGGATGTGCATGCACCTGCATGCACATGGTGTCTGAGAAGCAGCATGAGGAGCTTCTGGCTTGGAAGGCAGAGTGATGGAATAGTGCAGGGTTCAGCAAACTTTTTCAGCAGGAGCTGGTCCACTGTCTCCAGACCTTGTGGGGGACCGGACTACATTTTGAAAAAATGATAATGAACAAATTCCTATGCCCCACAAATAACCCAGAGATGCATTTTAAATAAAAGCACACATTCTACTAATGTAAAAACACCAGACAGGTCCCACAAATAACCCAGAGATGCATTTTAAATAAAAGCACACATTCTACTCGTGTAAAAACACGCTGATTCCCAGACAGTCCACGGGCCGGATTTAGAAGGTGATTGGACCGGATCTGGCCCTCAGGCCTTAGTTTGCCTACTCATGGAAAGTGGCTCCCTTCCTTATCCCACCGTCTTCCTGAGGCCGCCACAGAGTATGAGAAGCCATGGTGCACTCAATTTCAGGAAGATGAGATACCTTTACCTCAAGGTCTAAGTGAGGGAAGCACATAAGAAAATACATGCACACACTCAGGTGCCCCCCTGTTTTCTCTGCTGTTTCTGTTAAGCCTCCCTCAACTGCAAAGTATTTAAGCACAGACATTTTGCCTGCTCTTCAGCGGATCCCCGTGCTGGCTTCCTTGCCCTCCATTCTTGACTCCCGTGACGACGGCCAGCATGCCTTCGGAAGCCGGCTTCCCTTTGGGCAGCAGCGCCAGGGTCCCTGGAGCAGAGATCAAGCTGTGCCTAGCAAGGAGGCCACCAGCCCTCTCAGAGGCCCAAAGGGGAGGCATCACTGGCATTGTTTCTCCCCCAGCGACACCTGAGTAAGGGAGACAGATGTGCATCAATATTTATCCGAAACTCCCAGGGAACCCGCGCGAAGTGTAATTATCTCAGCTCAATCAGCCCAGATTAGCATAACATCAAGTCACCCATCAGATGGGGGACTTGATTTCTGGGATCAAAGCCTCCTGCTGTAGCCACTGATTAATCGGGTGCAAGGGAAGCGAGGAGGGACGGATGCCTCCGAAGAGGCTTTTGCAACAGCTGCGCAGCTTTGATATCCCAGTCGTTGCACCCTGCAAACTCTTCCCCTTGCCATCCCTTCCTTCCTTCCTGCCAGCTCCCTCTCTTGGCTTTGCAGATGGGGAGGATTTGAACAACTTGTCTTGCGTGTGGGGAGCTGGTGTTCTCTGAAACTCATCACCCCCAGTATCTTAGCCCTAAATCTGAATTTACCTGAAAAATGTTGCCCCAGAATGTCTCTTTTATCTGCTGAAAGCTGGTGGAGCCTGATGGCGAGGAGCCTAAACTGTGAACCAGGACCTGCATGAGAATGGCCTTAGATGATACCTAGATGATATATAATACTAAATAACCTTGGACAATCTTCTCCTTGTGCCCTCAATCTTTCCCAACATCAGGGTCTTTTCCAGGGAGTCTTCTCTTCTCATGAGGGGGCCCAAGGATTGGAGCCTCAGCTTCAGGATCTGTCCTTCCAGTGAGAACTCAGGGCTGATTTCCTTCAGAATGGATAGCTTTGATCTTCTTGCAGTCCATGGGAATCTCAAGAGTCTCCTCCAGCACCATAATTCAAAAGCATCAATTCTTCGGCGATCAGCCTTCGTTATGGTCCAGCTCTCAGACGACCAAAAATAGCTTCAGCATATGTAATAGGACAAGAATCCAATAACTCTATTCAGACCAGGTCTCTCCATAGTTTTCAGTTTAGTAATAAGTTGTAACTTAGGTGGTCTCTAAGGTGCTACTGGACAATTTTTAAAATTTATTTCGACTGCGTCAGACCAACACGGCCACCTACCTGAATCTAGAGGTATTTTATGTCATTTCAAAACCTGCCAAACCTATTTGTTCAGAGTTGGTGGTTTGGGGAGAGGGGGGGAGGAAAGAAATCCTTTGTGTTTGCACCATGGGAGGTAAAGCTCCTCTCAGCCTCGCTTCCAGCTCTGTCAAAAATCTACGGATGTGGTGGCTGCAAAAATGCACACTGGCAACTTAATAATGAGGGTGGATAAGCAGAGGTGGGGGGTGGGGAATGACAGGAGACTGGCAAGTGTTCAGCAAACAGCCTTTCCTCTCCCCATAAAACAACTTGCACGGAAATGTGAGCAAATGCGATGTGGCGAAGATTCCAATTATCCCGTCCTCGTCCCGTCCCAGGAGGGAGATGACAGAGGCTGCCTCTTTCAGGCTGCCAATATCTCAATAACTGGAACGGAATCTCTCTCTGAGTCGGCCCAGAAGGGAGCCCAGAAGAATTACAGCAGGAGAGCGTGTGACATGCTTTCTTCCTTTAATGCAGCTTGTTCCCTGCTTTGGCGCTTTTTGTATGCTTAAATCATCTCGCAGCCCAGGAGGGGGTTAAAATGAAGCATCTGTCTTGGAGGGGCTGGGAATTCACTGCCTTTGCACATCGCTCCCCAGCTTCACTGGAAATTATCTTTCAAAGCACAAAAGGTGTGTGTGTGTCTGGGTTTGAAAGACAGCGTGGCTTCCACTGCTAGTTTGATGTGGGAACTTTTTGAATTTGGGGAAACAACAACTTAAACAGGAATTACCAAATATTTGACAGCGGTAGTTTCCTTTAGAGTGCTGGGTCCATTTCTGGACCCAACTGTTTAAGGATCTACTGCCGAGCTGAAATGTGTGCAGAGGGTGACCAAGATGATAAAGGGTCTGGAAAGGGAGTTGGGTATGTTTAGCCTGGAGAAGAGGAGGCTGAGAGAATCATAGACTCATAGAACTGTAGAGATGGAAGAGACCACAAGGATCATCTAGTCCAACCCCCTGAAACACAGGAATATTTTTGCCCAACGTTGGGCATGAACTTATGACCCCTGAGTCTCATGCTCTACTGACCGAGTTATCCTTTTGGTGATATGATAACTATCTATAAATAGCTGGAGGGCTGTCACATGGAAGATGGAGCATGCTTGTTTTCTGCTGCTCCAGAAGGTAGGTTTCAAACCAATGGATTCAAATGACAAGGAAGGAGATTCTGACCAAACATTAGGAAGAACTTTCTGATGGTAGGAGCTGTCCAACAGTGGAAGGTGGTGGACTCTCCTTTTAAACAGGTTGGATGGCCATCTGCCAGGGAGTCTTTAGCTGAGTCTTTAGCTGTCCAGTCATTGCAGGTGATTGGACTTGATGTTGCTTGGTGTCACTTCCAACTGTACAATTCTCTGATATCACCACCACCACCACCACCATCACCACCATTATTATTCCCCCCTTATGGTCCTCCAGAAGACTGTGGCTTCGATCAGAAAATGCCTCCTAGGCTAACAAGGAGAATTCAGGCTTCTTCTTGAAGGCCCCAGGCTCAGTGGCAAAGCACCTGTTTTGCATGTATAAGGTCCCAGGTTCAAACCCTGGGGAGCGACTGTCAGTCTCCATAGGCAATATTGAGGTAGATGGGCAGTATAAGGCAGCCTCTAGATTCCTGTTTTCTTCCTCACATCATGCCAATCAGAAATGCTGTTCTCTCTGGGAAAAGCAGGCCACCGAGAGGGATCTCTGCTACTTCACCTCTCTTTGCTGGAGCAGACAAACAGGGGCAAGGGGGCTTATTTTGCAGGGCAGTGTCTGGGGAGGCAGCTTCAGAACCCTCTTGATGCCATCTCCTTCCTTCCACATTTATCTCCCTCTGATATCATGCCTCTTGCAGCATCATTCCTTCCTGCTTTTAATTAAGTGCTAAATATAGATCTTAATTAAGGCGCTGATGAATTTAATTTAGAGCAGCATTACTGCTTTAACGTGCAAGATCCCGGCGCCTTGTTTGGATAATGTCGAATATCAGCTAAACGAGCGCTTTACGTGTTGCCACCGTAAATAATTCCCTTGCAAATCCCCTCTGATACGTCGACGACACTAATCCGTTTCTTCCTACAGAATATTCATGAACACCAATCGGCTTTCTTCCCACTGCATAGATTTTAATACCCAGCCTCCAAACAGTCTGTACCTTTTCCATGACTAAAATTAGCAAATGAGGGGGGACATATCAGAGGGAGAGAGAAAATGAGGAGCAGAGGCACAATTTCGATTAAATGCCATGGCTGCAGGGCCTGCCGTGAGGTTCCCAGCAACCGGGTCAAGTAGAAATGCAGTAACACAGAGCTTTGCTCTGAGAAACTGCCACAAACTCCCAGCCACATTGCAGGAATCCAACAGGAAGACACAGACTTTGCATTCAGATACCTGTTGAATTCCAGGCTCAGAGAGTATGTTTATTTATTTATTATTATTTATTATATTTATATTCCATCCATCAAAACAAGATCTCTGGGTGGTTCACAAGCTGATATAAAAGAAAATATAAAATAAAAATAAACTAACATACTGAGCAGCATCTTTATACTCTGCCCTTCCTTCCTTCCTTCCTTCCTTCCTTCCTCCCTCCCTCCCTCCCTCCCTCCCTCCCTCCCTCCCTCCTTGGAGGTTTTAAAGCAGAGGTTGGATGGCCATTTGACATGGATGATTTAGTTGAGATTCCTGCATTGCAGGGGGTTGGACTAGATGACCCCTGGGTGTCTTTCCAACTCTATGATTCTATTATTCTATTCAGCCAATATTGGCTCCCAGTTCAACTCTACAAAGAGATGCATTATAATTAGGGATAAGTCCCCGTCTGTGTGTTTGGGGGCAGTGGCAATTCAGTCCTGGATCCAGGCTCTTCCATCAAGAGGAGGAGGAGGAGGAGGAGGAGGAGGAGGAGGAGGAGGAGGAGGGAGCCAGAAGGAGCTGCTGATGGACTCAGAGGTCAGCTGGCACCAGGCTCCTCTGATGTTCTGGTCCTTGGCTGTTGATGCCTGACCATTTCCCCAGGTAAAGTAGGCAGGAACTGGGAGGATAGTTGCTGCTTCAGCACCAAAGCAACTCACACTGGGAGCTTGTTTTGGATGCTGGAAGTGCCACACAAAGACAATAATGGAAAAAACCTCACTCTTCCTTTGCATAAAGTCCTTTCCTCCTTGGGTTCTAATAGTTATTTCCAGGGACTGTATTGCGAGAAAGAACTAGCAGCCACATTGGAAGATGATGTGCCGGCATGTTTGTTTGTTTGAGCCAAGCCAGTCTCCACCCAGAGACCTTAGATTAGTGCAGTTAAATTGGTGTTGCGTTAATGCGCACACAGACGGCAGAGAGAGGCAGGCGGAGAAACAGCCACCTTTCCAACCCCCTCTGTCAGCTTCCGGCCCGCTCAGTCAATGCATCACCTCGAACTCGGTGCCCCCTTTATAAAAAAGTCATTTTGCTCCAAGCTAACACAGTCAGGCCTCATTGTTCCCAATATCGCCGAGCAATTTCTGAGCTAAAGGAGTGTTGAATTGTAGTGCAGATATATGGGCAAAGGAGCAGGGTCAGGTGGTGCAGCTGAGGCAAGCAGGATGCAGGGAATAAGGAGGAGAAGCAGAAGGGAGGAGAGCCCCGAGAGAGCTGGAGTCCGCAGTGCATGGCAGATTTGTGTGTGAAGGCAAAATACTCCCCTGCTCTAATTTTTGACTTCATATGTGCAGATTCAGATGTTTTGCATTTCACCAACACTTAACTGGCTGGCTGGCAGAAAACCTAGAGGGTACTCCATCCCATTAATAAACATGGGGCAGGATCCATGGGGTTCTCCTATCATACAGGCCCTTTGACATAAATGGGCAGCTTGCAAATGTACATAATGATAGAATTTGTACATTGTTAGAAGTTCCTGGTGGATGCCAGGAGCAGGTCAGCAATGACTCACACAGCGTTAGTGAAGTTAACTCTTTATTCAAAGAAACAAGGGAGCCAGCATACAGCTTCCGGGTCATGTGGCCAGCATGACTAAGCCGCTTCTGGCGAACCAGAGCAGCGCACGGAAACGCCGTTTACCTTCCCGCCGAAGTGGTACCTATTTATCTACTTGCACTTTGACGTGCTTTCGAACTGCTGGGTTGGCAGGAGTAGGGACCGAGCAACGGAAGTTCAGCCCGTCACGGGGATTCGAACCGCTGGCCTTCTGATCGGCAAGTCCTAGGATCTGTGGTTTAACCCACAGCGCCACCCGCATCCCTGGTGTGTCCAGGGATAATTAACACACCAATCTATTTTTATCTTGATTGGGTAGATTGAAGATGCTTCTGTGGGGAATACATCTACACCCCAGTTGTGCCGGGCTCCATCACGTAGAGGATACGATGGACCCCAGAGCTGTTTGTTCTTCCTTCTGCTCCATGTGGACGCATTATCAATGCATGTAGTCGGTCGACACTGCAGAGCTCGCATCTCCATTTGATCGGGCGGGGAAGAGAACACATCCACTTAGCCGGAAGAAAGGCATTGGCGTGCCGGCTCCACACTCAGCCTGGAGCCATCTCTTTTGAGAACGGTGCTCAAAGGATTCTTTTTAAGCTGGGCTTTTATTCCTTAAACAGACAGCTAAACAATCAATCGATTTTGTGTGTGTCTGATAAAGCTTAAGCTGCACAAACCTCTTTAAAAAAGAAAAAAGAAAAAGACCAACAACAAGAAATAAAAAGTCCCCAGAAAGCAACAGTGGGAGGATGGACCTAGAATTAAGGTATAAGAAAAGAAATAAAACAGAAATCCCACTGATCAAAGAGCTAATGGGCACCTTAAAGCATTTTGAAGTGCAATGATCAATTGTTGCTCCAAGCGGTGGGAGCTGAGGCTGTTAACTGTTTCCAGCCATTGTGCGCAACCCCACTAAACCTCCTCTCTGAAGGATTGCAGCCCCATTTGCAGTGGGGAGTCAAACAAGCCGACTATAGGAAGGTTATAAAGACAAAAAAAGAAAAGGGAAGAGGCCAACCCACAATAGCTTGCTATCTAAAGCAGGGTGGGTACCTGGCTGGTTCTTAAATTTATGAGAGAGGCTTAAATTCAGTGGTGCATCACCTGCAGAAAGTCTTAGGGTTGATCCCCAGCATCTCCTGTTAATTAGAATCAGGCAGCAGGTGAAGGGAAAGCTCTTTCTCTTCCCAAAAGTCTCTGCCAGAGTACAGACTGGCCGTCACCAAGTTGGTGCCCTCCAGATATTCTTATACCACAATGCCCATGTACAACAGCATCTGGAAAGAGCCAAGTTGGCCACGGCAAGAGTAGAGAATAGTGGACCAGAGGGGCAAATAGCCTGGCCTGGAATAAGGCAGTTTCCTATTTAAATCTTTTATACGGTGCTTTTTCAGACAATGCCTCCCCAAACAGTTTATATAACGCAATCGATACAAAGGCAATAAAGCAGTAAGAGGCTGTGTGGTGAAAATGTTAAAAACCAGAAAAGACAGCCAAATGAAAGCTAAAGCACACACAACAGAACCCTATCCATGTTTACCCAGAAGAAAGTCCCGCTGTGCTTATTGGAGCTTTCTGCCTTGGATGTGTGTTCTGGACTGATGAGGGCTGGCTGGATCAAGTACAGAGCCAGCCCCTCCTTATCCTTTGGGAGAGCATTTTACAAGCTTGACATCATGACTGAAAATGCCTTATTCCCCAGCCAGCCCTTCAGCCTCTTCTCAAACAGCATTCCCCCAACCCCACAGTAAGGCCTTCACAGAGGCTGTTTTAAGATGGTTGCCCCCTGCAAGAACAGGACGCTGGAACAATGTTACAATGGCATGTTACAATGCAGCAGATGAGTGCAGGGGCTGAGGAAGAGAAGAAGAAAGAGGTGGAGGTTGTTGGAAGACCCCTAGTGGGCCTATGGCAAAGGGGAGATTCAGAACAGGAGCTTCCAGAAGCACAGCATGGTCTCTTAGCCAGTTTCCCACTCCAGATCTTAGAGCGGCAGAAATCCCAGCATCACTGCAGGGGATCCTGCTGGGCTCTGTCTTCTCAGTGGAGACCCATAAACATTGCCCTCTCCCCCAGGCTTTCTATTTTACTTACTTTTATTTGTTTTATTGGGTTTTTTTTTTGGTATTCTTGTTTTAAGCTCTACAGTAAAGGTAAAGGTAAAGCGACCCCTGACCATTAGGTCCAGTCGTGGCCGACTTTGGGGTTGCTGTGCTCATCTCGCTTTATTGGCCGAGGGAGCCGGCGTACAGCTTCCGGGCCACGTGGCCAGCATGACTAAGCCGCTTCTGGCGAACCAGAGCAGTGCACAGAAACGCAGTTTACCTTCCCGCCGGAGCGGTACCTATTTATCTACTTGCACTTTGACTTGCTTTCGAACTGCTAGGTTGGCAGGAGCAGGGACCGAACAACGGGAGCTCACCCCGTTGCGGGGATTCAAACTGCCAACCTTCTGATCGACAAGTCCTAGGCTCTGTGGTTTAACCCACAGCGCCACCCGCGTCCCCGAAGCTCTACAGTAGGCTTCCTCAAACTCAGCCCTCCAGATGTTTTTGGCCTACAACTCCCATGATCCCTAGATAGCAGGACCA